CATTACAGACTTTTTGACAAGACTCAGAGGTGGCATTAATGCATTCTATAATAACAATGTTATGAGATTAATGTTTTAAATATAAGGTTTTGAATATAGAAGTATTAAACGATTTAAATAACTAAATTTATACTTGAAATTTATAAAATGAAACTGAAACCACCAGTAGGTGGCAGCAAGTAACTGTCTTTGTCACTGAATCATTCATTCAACCGGCTGATTCATTTAGGAACGAAGCAAGTGACTCTCTTTATGAATGGGTCATTGAATCATTGACTAACTAGATTTATTAAAAAACGCAGATTCATTCATAAACGAAACATAGCTGTGTTTGCTTGGAGATGCGCAGCAGCTCAGCTGTGATTTGTTTGGAACTATTTTCGTTGATGAAATGGAGCACAATCAGACAACAGTGTTCCTAAAATGTTAGTCACTGAATATTAACTTTTGTTTAAAATCAAAAATGTATAAAATTGTGGTATAAATTCAATTTCACATTTGCAAACTCCCTTTATAATCATTAAAAGCTGTGACTCCTCTTAGTTCATCGCGATCTCACAAACTGTCCATTTTAATGAATGAAGCTCTCTACACTGCATAACGAATCTATTATTTACATCGTCTCTACACTTCGTTTGTTATAATGAATCAGAAAAACTGCAGTCTGCTTTCATGGTCTGTGCTTTGAGGAGCAGCACGCGCACCGATAGAGAAGCATTTCCATTGGCTGCAGTCAGCAGGTATTATGGCCAATCACAAAAGACCGCATTGCGCAGCGCTCCGTATTTACTGATACGGAGACTCTGGGTTCGGACCACAAGGTAAACTCATATGATTATTCCATGTAAACACCACATTTACCGGCTTAGTCACGGTGAAAGTGAAACTTTAACGATGCATAGTGCTTAAAGCCACGTTAAAACGAAATGGTTATGGCCACAAGCAGCTAACTACACGCGACGCCACAATATTCCAGCGACAAGCAATTTGGGTGTCCACACCAGACGCGACGCGACGCGACGCGACAGAATCAATCAAATATCACAGCCAATCAGAAGCGTGTGTGGGCGGGCTGTCTCTGGAAGCCCACTGCACAACGAAATTATTACATTTATCATCTAATTCATAAGTATGAACGCATTTTAACATCATTAAATGTACATACTGAGTGACAGATAACATATTTGTTATGGAATACCCTAGTTGGTTTGCAGTTTTAACGGACATCTTGCTTTAATTTATTTTCAAGATCTGAGGTAATATCTGTTGTTGCTTTCAGTATGGCTATAAGGTCACACAAAATTATATTTAAACTCATATTAGACACGTTTAACTTTGAATAAAGCACATAATCACCTGAGAATCGAGATTATCTAACGTTACTGTCATATAGTTTGTATGTTGTTGTTCCAGCCGCGACGTCGCGGAAATAGAAACCGTTTCTAAATGAGAAATTTCGCTTGTCGCCGTCGCTAGTTAGGAAAAAAACTCTGATTAACATGGAAAAGATCAATTGTATCGCGTGTCGCGGCGTCGCGTCGCGTACCCTACTCTCCAGTCAAATCTTCATCACATATATATTTAATATATATTTTAAAAATATATTCAAATAGACAACGGTTATTTTAAATTGTAATAACATTTGACAATATTGGTGTTTTTACTGTACTGTTTTTACTGTACTGTTTTTGCTTACATAAATGCAGCATTGGTGAGTACAAGAAACTTCTTTAAAACATTTAAAACATATTTTAAAGGGGGGGACGACGTCATTACGCAATTACGTCCAGGCGCTATAGACGCGCGAACAGTATTTGAACCTTCTTGAAACGAACTGTTCAAAAGAATCGAGTCGAATCGAAGAATCGGACCTCCTATCACTATGAAATACCACCACCAAAATGTTTCCCTAATCTTTATGCAGGTTGTGTCTACTGTTCTAATAGATAATAGATTAATAATTCATAACACATAATCATTTCAGGTACAGATATCATGATTTTTAATAAAATATATTTTACTGACATTTTATGCATCTGTGAGGCCACCCCTCTTTCCTGTATGTGGACTATTCCATCCAAATCAAATATCCTGTGCCTGCTTTCTTTCTCTCTCTTTATGCCGGCGCACACATTGCTCTTGTGCCAAGTGACCCTTACTGTCTTCTCATTTCATCATAAAATCCAACATTATGTAATTTATTCGAGCCTAATTGGTTCATTCACTCCAGTAAATCACCATCCTTTCTGCATTCGCTGAATTTGAATGGCCTCAGGCTCAAGCTATTTGATTGTCAATTTAGACTTTCCTTTTAGATGATTATTTTATTCGGCTATTATTTGATTTGGTTATGGCTTGGCTACAGATATCCCTGTATGATGAAAAGCAGTGGAGTAACTATTTACTTATTAATACAATATAAATAGCTATTTATAAATATTACAATATAATTTATTCAGTAAAAAGTCTTTCCATCATTATATTGCAACATCCATTCATTTCCACCCATTTAACTTATCACAATATTTTTTTTTCACGAGTTTCCAGCTCAGCGTTCTTCATCAGTAATGAAATTCAAAGGATAAAAAAGTGCAATGAAATTACCACTGCAGGATGTGACTAAAAGTTATACATAGGCTATGTGGGTTAATTTGCTTTACAAAAAAGTGAATAATAATAATAAAATAAAAAAGTAATGCACCATATTATGCTGTTATACGTCTGTTGTACCGTTTCTGTGGAAACTATATTTTTCAGGATTCTTTGACGAATTGAAAGTTTATTCAAATAAGAAATCTTTTTATTTTTTGATCAATTTAATGCATCCTTGGTGAATAAAGTATTAGTGTCTTTGAAAAGAATTCTTAATTCCAAACTTTTGAATGGCTGCTCTTCAACAGAATTCTCTAAGATGTGTCAGTAGAGGGCAGCCTTTGATTGCTTTACTTCAGTGAATAGTGTCTTGTGAACCACACTGGTGAGAAGAGGCCATTATGTAATGCAGATCTTTTGTTTGGAATT